AAGTTGATTTTTCATAGAGAGAGAACCTGAAAATAGGACCATAGCGCTCAGCAAGAATGGAGAACAAGTCAGGTCCATACTTAGCCAGCAGAGGGAGGTGTCCAACAACAGGCATTGCTGGAGGCCCAGGAACTTTCCTCACGGCCCAATAAGGCTTGTAAAAGTACCACAATACCCCTGTGACCATAGCAAATATTGTGAATGTTGTAATCACAGGTGAGTTGATCACTGCAAAAATCTCCATTCTTTTCGGGGAGAGAGATGAAAAAGAGAGGGACAATAGCAAGGGAATTACTGACACTATCTTTCATTGGTAAAATGAGTGTTGAAATTTAATGGGTATATAAAGGAAATTGGGGATATTATTTTATATTTGTTGGGGGTTATTATTGGTCTTTTTTCCTTGTTGAATAATGATGATAATAAGGCCAAATGGTAGGGGCCTAAAAATATAGTTGGGGGGCCAATTTTTTTTCCCTAATAATAGGGCCTTCTTTTACTGTGTTTTTCTCTAGTTATGTGGTTGTGGTGTTTGACATTTATCTAAATTTTGCATTGCATAGGTTTAATTTTTGGAAATTGTTCAAGTTAGACTTTGAGGGTAAAAAGGGAGAGGATTTCTTAAAAGTTAATTGATGAGTTGATCTATAGTTAGACTACAAGCTCCAATGGAAGCTAGCTTAATAAAATCGTGCCTTTTGAGATTTTGCACTTCTATGTCATGATTGTACTTGTTTGTATACTGTAGGCATGTAAACGAGCCGAACTCGAGCTTAGGGTGTTCGATTTCGACCTTGAATCCTTAACGAGCCGAGTTTGTTAAATAAATGAGTCAAAATCCGAGCTCGAGTTCGACTTGTTAATCACTATTATCGAGCGGAGTTCGAGCCTTAACGAGCTGATCTCGAACTTTAACAAGTCGAACTATAGAAAATTATACAAAAATTCTCTTTTCGAGCCTTAACGAGTCGAACTCGAACTGAGCCGAGTCATGCTCGTTTAATTTAAGAACACTAATACTATACAACAATTATGCTCTTTTGGATGATTTAAGCACAACTTAATGTGTCCACGAATATGTAAATAACAAATTATTATACAATATACAATGAATATATGTTTAAATTACGAANTTTTTTTTTTTTTTTTTTATCGAAACGATAGATTCTATTGCTCGAAAAATTTACATATAGGATTGGCTAAGAAGCCATACAATCATCCCACACGGGAGAATGGAGGTACACACTAAACAGGTGCCCTAAATAATAATAGGAAATAAACAAAGTTGTCTAAGTTTGTTCCGGCTAAGACAAGGCTTAGAACCCAGAAAATACTGAAACAACTTTGGGCTTACCCAATCCTGACGAGTAAGCACTGCAAAAAAAGGGGGGCTACCACTGCAACACTGGCCTAGCTGCCCCAACCCAAAAGGAACCTAAAAACAAACTAACCAGCACCCAAAAAAACAAAAGCTAGCCAAAAGAGCAAACTACCACTGTACATGAAAGCCAGTCACAACAGCCAACACTAAACAAAAGGACTAAACTCGAGCCATTCAGAAACTGCAATATCTACCACAGCTTTTCCTTCTCTTCTAACTTTTTGAAACACCCAGAAGTTTCTTGTCTTCCACAATCACCATAACATATAAGCTGTGAGTTAAATTACGAAACCTTAACATGTAGTTTGTAGGAATGAGATAATGTCCCTACGTTGGGTTGGGTAGGTGGAAAATTTCGATTGAAATTGCCCACAAACATTAATTGTCATTTGGTCGCTTTTAACACAAACATGAAATGATAAAGCCTCATGACAAAATATATATATTTAATATTTTTATGGTCCATAATATACAAAGAATCACTTATACAAGCTAGGCTACCTAGCTTTATAGCATAGANCTTTTTTCATCTGCATTGCACGCTTCAACAAAATGATGAAATTTCAACGGAAAGTTCCAATGCAAATATATTTTAATGGAATTGCAACCGAAATTCCAACAAAGATATTATGTTAGAATGAGTTTTCCATTGGAATTTTCGTTGAATTTTGACGATTCTAACGGAGGTGGAAATAAAAATTCTAACGAAAATTCCTACAGTAAAAAACCGTTAGAAAAATAGCTGTTGGAAATAATCAAATTCCATCTAAAATTCTAAAGGAAAAGTCATTCCAACGCAATATTTTGGTTAGATTCCAACGGAAGCTATACCATTGAAATATATTATCGTACGATTTTCCGTTGAAATATAACAAATCTTTTTGTAGTGACATCATTAAAAAATATCAAGGGTTTGGCATGACAATGAAACTTGCCTTAAATTCCTTCAAATTCCCATTGTCGAATATTGATTAATACCTAAGCAAATCATTTTCCTTTTGGAATATATGCATGCAACAAGGCCAACAGATATTAGGCATATTATTTCCACCAAACATCAATGTAGCGTATTAGGCTTCACTCAAGGATTCTTATATCTATGCTGTATCGAAAGATAATTAGTAATATTCTTATTAACTGGGAAAAATATTAATCAAGAAAAAATGAAATATATTATAGTCACGTATACAAGAAATGTATTAATTGTATGTCATGTAGGTTCCATATATTGATTATATCACTAATTCTTATGTGAGACGGTCTGTTCGTTAGATAATCCAAGTATCCAATCCATACTTTTTTTAAAAAAAAAAAAATGCATGAGGAATAATGTTTCATTTTGAAATAATGCATATCTATTGAAAAAATAAGATTACTTAACATAATGAATATGCGTTGAAAATGTATGATTAAGTAACACTACTGTATATGGGTGCAATAACAAGAACATGTTACATTTTATGTTAGATTAGGTGTTTATATTAATGCCATAAATATTGATAAAGGGCATATTTATTCAATTCAGACTTTTTATGACATTTAAATTTAAATGGACAGTAGTCTATTTGATGTGGACTAATTAAGGACATTGCCTTGACCTATATGTAAGTTTCAATACTCTAGAAAAAGTGAATATTTATGCCGCGTGAATAAAACCACGTCCACTATTTTTCTCTTTTCTCTATTATTTTAAATATAGAAAGACACAAAAGTCACAATTACAATTACATCGTTGATAGATTTTATCATTTTACCATGTTCTATGCATAATTGGTTTTTAAATGACTGAATCAACACACATTCATATTAATATGTATACATGCACATAATCCAACGTTAAAAAGCCCGAAATGCATACCCAAACGTAGGATCGAATATATCCTAACGTGGATATTATCAATTTTCACTTTTTTTTTTTTTTTTTTAATNTTCACTTTTTTTTTTTGTTTTTTAATTATTACTATCATTTTTCACTTATTGTCAATAGTACTCTAGATCTTGTTTGATGAGTTCACTGGCCAAGCTAAGTAGTTGGGTCAAGCCGAAATTAATTTGCTTGCTGTTGATTTTGCAGGCCTATACGTAGGCCCTATATAAAGAAAGAATGGTCTGGCAGATTTTGGTCGACTCAATGGGCTCATGGCTCAACATGCTAGACGCTTCCTTTTGGGCTTGTAGACTTTTTCATATACGTGTAAACCTACTTTCAGATTTGGGCCTATGACCCAAATTTTTATCTTTCACAAAGTTTTCACAGACACGATTAGTAAACTGAAGCCCACTTCTTGGTTGGGCTTTTGTCCATGATTTTAGTAAAACTTTTGTGCATGGTTCAAAAGGGAAATTCTCACATACCCACGGTGGGCACATGTTAATATGCCCACCGCTGATGTGGCATGCACACATTGGTGATGTTAATATGTTAAAAAAAATACATCACCAATGTGTGCATGCCATATAAGTCGGTGGGCATATTAACATGTGTCCACCATGGGCATGTGAGCATTTCCCTGGTTCAAAATACTGTACCATGATTAATATTTACTTTATTATCTAGTATTGAGTGGACATCTAATATTAATAGGGTAGGTGATTATGAGTGGCCCACACGAGTAGTATATAGGGATGTAAACGAGTCGAGTTCGAGCTCAAGGAGATATGTAAACGAGCTGAGTCGAGCTCGAGTTCGAGCCGAGTTGCTCATTAACTTAACGAGATTATAATCGAGCTCGAACTTATCAATATTAACAAGCCGAACTCGAGCCTTAACGAGTCAAAATCGAGCCGAACTATACACAAAATGCACAAAAATCATATTTTCAAATCTAAACAAGCCTTTTGAACCTGTCAAGCTCGACTCGTTCTGACCGAGCTTTAAATGAGCTTGAGCTTGGGTCTTTTATCAAACGGGTCGAGTTGAGCTCGAGCCTTAACGAGCCGAGTCGAGTTGAGATCACGATGGCTAAAGACCCCTTTTACTACAAAAAAATTGTTATATTCCACCGAAAAATCGTATGGTAAACTATTTCAATAGAAATTTCAACGGATATTCCAATGGTGTAGCTTTCGGAGTTTGAATGTATTTTTAATTAGAATTTGATGATTCCAACAGTTATATTTCCAACGGCTTTTGACCGTATGAATTTCCGTTGGAATATGCAATTTCGGTTGGAATTTTTATTTCCACCACCGTTAGAAAATCTACCGTTGGAATCGTCAAAATCCAATGAAAAAATCATTCTAACGGAATATTTTTATTGAAATTTCTTTTTGAATAATTCCAAAGAAAATAATAGCATTGAAATATCCATTGGAATTGCCGTTTAAATCCTATTGAAATATATTTCCATTGTAATTTCATCATTTTCTTGTAATGTTTGATTATGATCCCTAAAATACCAAATCGTTTATAGTTCTCTATTTTTGCATAAAAATCGAAAACGAATGGCCATCAGAAGATTTAGTTGCGGAAACCCATAAACTGATCCCTGCTCGTGGTTTGTGTTCGTGATCGATGTCGACTTCATAAAGGTTTGAATCCGTAAATTCATTAAGCAACGCTTGCACTATGTAGTTCTGATTCTTTATTAGTTAACACGAAACGCTTGATGAAGCAAAGGTTTTTCAAATAAAGGTTAATTCCAACGACATTTACTTCAGAATTATAAACCACGCCACATATTCTTCACCTGATTTTATGTTGAATTTGATACATTACTTACATTAGCACCCTTAAGAAAAATATGGAAAAAAGCAAATTCAAAACAAATATAGCAAAGTTTGATGATCAAATAAAGAGCGTTCAGAAATGTGCAGGAATCAAGTGTCCCTGTATGAATCAGATTCACTTAGTCAAAGATTCAAAAATAAGGAATAAGAATCATTAACTATTTACACCACAAAATACTTGCACGGTTGGTTGCAAGGAAAGGATTGTGGTAGAAGAAAACAATGGAAAGTGACGACCAAAGGAC